AGGTTTACCTAGTTCGAACTAAGCGCTCCGCTAGTTCGATTCAAATTCGAACTAGCGGAGCGCTAGTGTAGCACCTATTAAAGTTAGTTCGAACTAACGTCCGTTAGTTCGAACTAACTTTGTAGTGTAGACATACCCTCAGTTCTTTATTCTCAAGCTGAGGTGTCTGCTGAGAAAAGCCGCTCCGCGTCTCCCTGGTCTGCTGGGGGAGGGGGGCGCTAGCTTCGCGTCTCCCTGGTCTGCTGGGGGGAAGCAGCTAGTGCGGGGTTGCCTCACCCCGTTTGTAAGTAGGGATCCGATGTAAGTCGGATCCATGTAACCCGGGGACTGCCTGTATAAGTGACAAATTTACTGTATATTTGAGAGACTTTGTCTATCCATCTGTGAGTCTGTTCAAGAACTCCCCCTAAATATACCAAAGGATACAATTTATTTTTTTAATTGTATCCTTTGGTATATATGGTTGTGACTATTTTCTTCCACTATTTGATCTGAGGAAGTAGGTCTGGCCCACGAAAGCTCATCATCTAATAAACCATCTTGTTAGTCTTTAAAGTGCTACATAGTCCTGTATTTTGCTTCAGCTACACCAGACTAACATAGCTACATTTCTATCACTATCAAATAGAAAGGGAGGGCTTTGATAGCAGGGACAATTATACTGCAAAATGACCACAGAGGAGCAGCAAGCAAGTGCACCCTATGACCATAGGGAAGCAGCAAGCAAGTGCAGTCTATCACACTGATAGACCTGGGCTAGCGCCGGGGAGCAGTGCCACTGGTGGACCAGGGAAGCACAGATCCTACAACCCTGGGGAGCAACACCACCAGCAGGTTAGACAGCGTGGCCCCCTGCCCGGGAAGCAACACTGCCAGTGAGCTGAGCAGCGCGGTCTCCTCCACACCAGCCAGCCCCAGGGAGCAGCCACTGGATGCCCCCACCACCTGCCCTGAGCCCCTCACCCTCTGCCCTGACTCCTGCACCCCCACTATACCCTGCCCTCAGCTCCTCACCCCCTTCCCTGACTGCTGCATCACATGTCCTCTGCCCTGAACCCTCCAACACCTCCCAACCCCCAACCCTAACTCATGCACCCACCAGCACCTGCCCTGAGCCCCCAACCCTCTGCCCTCTGTCGTGAAGGACCTGAGCAATACCGGTAAACCTTCTAGTAGTACGTAGATGCTAGGAAAGATGCAAGAGAAGTAGAAAGTAGAAAAGAAAGAAAAGGGGAAAAATTTCAGCTCAATCTAAACATACACATTACAAAATATCAAGATGGATTTAGTGATCTGGTACATCAGCACAGACAAGGTTTTCATATTGATGACAGAATGTGTGGTGGCACTATTCTTAAGCAACATGTTCTAAGCAACATACATGCAAAGCCTACACACACACTACAACCTGCATTTTTTAGTTTGAGGGAATTTGACAATTTTTCCATGCTGGGACATAGAAAATCAAAACATTTTTTTAATTTCCTACAAAACAAAAATTTACAAAATTGCAGTTTTGGTCAATCAAATTCTGAGCAGACCTCAGCTTGTTTATTTTTGCAATACAAATTTGACAAATTGTAATGAAAAGTCATACTGATTTGGAAAATGGGAATAGTCAGTTTAAAAAATGGTGAAAATACTGAATGTTTTCATTTTTTCCCAATTTTCCCTTAGAAAGGATATTTTTTCAAAGGAGACATTTCTGTACAATGTTCCACTTTCAACAAACTGGAACATTTTTCCTTCAGAAATTTTGTCAGCAGATGTCCAACCTGGTCTAGTGAACATGCAACATTTTGGAAAATGGGCCCCATTTAATATTATTGAAAAATTAATACCCAAGAGCAATGTGTTCTCTGCTACAGGAATCCTACCAATTCTGGACCTTGTGAGCGATTAGGAAGAAGAAAATTCTCTAAAGCACATTTGTAAAGTGCATCCTCACATGCAGAAACTGTGCTAGTTATCAGTGGCCCAGATATACTCCTTCAGCACATAAAGGCTGTTTGAGAATGTAGCTGAAGGGTTTGCAAGGTTAACCAGCTTTCTTGACTGTTATGAGAGAACCTCCCACATTGCTTATATAGGCAGGAAAGCCTCAGAGGGGTAGTCATGTTAGTCTGTAACCTTAAAAAAAAATCAGTAGTCCGGTAGCACCTTAGAGACTCACAAAAATGCATATAGTATCGTGAGCGTTTGCAGGCAAAACCCACTTCTTCAGATAAGCAAAGGGGAGACAAAAGGTGGGGGACCCACACTATTTATAACAGAAAAGGGGAGGGGGGGGAGTACCTGTCAACTGCAGTGCTGGTGCCAATGAGGTTCATTGAGTGGGCTGGAGGTGTTCCATACTGAGCTTTTGATGTCAATTGGATGTTGAATGTAAGGAAAGCAGGTTTTACAATAGTCCAGTTTAGGCCTTTGTTCAAGCCATGAGAGTTCGTGTCAAATTTTCATATGAATGCCAGTTCTTCAGACTCCCTCTGTAGTTTTTTTTTTAAATGCCTTTGTTTAAGAATGGCTATTTTAAAATCCATTTATAAGTGCCTAGGTAGGTTAAAATGTTCTCGTACAGGTTTTTGTGTACTACCATTTCTGATCTCTGACTTGTGTCCATTTACCCTTTGGTGCACAGACTGTCCAGTTTGGCCAACATACATGGCAGAGGGACACTGCTGGCAGTTGAAAAAAAAGTAGGCAGGAAAGAGGGTCCTGATGGCCTCTCCCGTTTCTCATGAAAAAGCTTAACAGAGAGAGGGATTTAGCCCTAACCCTATGATTTAAGACAGTTAAACATCAACATCTTCACACAGCCGGGCTCCAACTGAACCCCTTCTGGAAATTAAAGTTGCTTCCCTCCCCCCACACCCAAATGAGCCATCCCACCACTTGCCCTCCTTTGGGCTGCGTGCGTTCTCCTGGCAGGGCTGTGTGCGTTATCAGCAAGTGCCACAGGCATTATGCACTTTGCAGGATTCAGTTCACAATACAAAGGAGGTGGTGAGTAGGAGGACAAGGTTTTGAGCACTGTGGAGCCTGAGGAGGACATGGTATTCTTATTAGAACAGGTACGCTCAGGTGCTGCATGTTCTGATCATCTAGATATCAATAATTGCACCTGGTATGAAGGTCTTTCACTTTGTCTGATCAATGCAACAGGTCTAGCTGCCACTAGGAAATCTATTCAGGTTGCCCCATGGAGTGTGCACTGAAGGCACTTGGGGAGTGGCAGCTTGGAGAGCAGTGATTTGTTGCTGCTGCAGAGCCCAGGAGACATCCCCTCCATTTGTCAGGGTTTCTGGCAAGGAGGCTGTAGGGACTGGGTTGCATAGAGTCTTTAAGGGAAGATGGGCCTTCCTGATTTGTGGGGATTGGATTTCTCACTTTGTAAGCACATCACTAGCTATGTTAATTTCTTAAAGTAATATATCAGAAAAAAGTATTTCCAATAAATATTCTATGTTAATGTAATTGATATAGTTCATCCATCACACCTTTTACTATATTTTCCCTGGGCGATGCCGAGTATTTCTGCTAGTATAAAATATTTTGGTTACATTTCAGCTTAGGTGAAAAATAAGATGCGACCCTCCAATTATGAGGAATACTCATACAAATTCTGACATAAGGACATTGCCACGTAAAGCAGCAAAGGTGACTAGGGCCAAAAATTGTCTTTTTCATTTATTTCCACTGAGCAAGGATTAGCTCCTCAACAATGTTACTTTTCTCCCTATAATATGCAAATGAAATTTCATGTCTGCAGTTTCAAACAGATGCCATGCCTCTCAAAGGCAGAAAAGTGATGAACTTTTTTCTCTATGAAGGGGGGAGTTAAAAAAAGAGTCAGACACGTTTCTGTAGAAGGGAATAGGACTTCCAATGCTATTATAGTCACTAATGGTTACTCCCTGAATCAAAAGCTTTTAGCCAGTGGGAA